AAATATCACTCTCCAAATAAAAATGACAGCAGTTCTCGTGAGCGCTAAAGTTTCTGTTTTTTACAGCAAGTTCAACAAGACTTTCCCCAAGTCTTCCCAACGGTTGTACTTGGCCCAAACACTAATTAAACACAAAAAACACAACTAAAACAGAGGATAAATAAATTATTTATTACTTAACAGGAGTAAAAATCAAGTAATAAAAATAAAATTGGGTTGCCTCCCAACAAGCGCTATCGTTTAACGCCCCTAGCTAGGCATAACAAGAAAGAATAGATCTAGGTATTGCCATCTTTGGTAGGCAATCCATAAGTGGCTCTCATAATAGATTCATATGGTAATTTTATTATCTTTCTAGGGAAGTGTTTCATGCCCTTTTTTAATGTAAATTGGAATCTAATATTCCCTTCCTTCATATCAATAATTGCACCAACCGTTCTAAGGAAAGGTCTACCGAGAATAATATGGCAAGAAGGATTGCAATCTATATCAAGAATGATAAAATCTATGGGCACATAATTCCTATTTGCAACAATAAGAACATCATTAATTCTTCCCATAGGTTTCTTAATAGTGGAATCCGCAAGATGCAAGTTTATAGAGCAATCATCAAAATCACGGAAATATAGCAAATCACACAAAACTCATTATTTTTAATTTTAATTTTAATAGTAGGTTCCCACTCATCATAAATTTTTCTAGGGATAGAAACTTCCAATTCAAGTTTTTCTTTAGAAGATTGCATCAAAGCATCAACGATATGTTTAGTAAACGCTTTATTTTGACTATAAGCGTGAGGAGAATTTAGCATGGATTGAAACAAGGAAATACAATCAATCTAAGAGCAATTTTAATAATTAAATTCCTTGAAATCCATAATAGTGGGTTAAGCAACATCTAGGGTTTTAATTTCTTCAATCCCACTTTATCAAATTTAGCATCAAGATCAACAAATTCTGAATTCTTAGAACGCCTTCTAGGTAAAGGTGGATCATATTCAGTCCCATCATTATCAAGATTCATACTGAAAAACAAATATTTAATAGGGGACACATCAATAACTTTTAGATCTTCATCATTATTTTCATAGGAACTAGAAGAACACGCTTTTATAAAGGCATCTTTGTTAGCACGCATCCTAGCGATTCTTTCTTTGCACTCGTCAATGGAAATTCTCATGGCTTTGAGAGACTCATTGATATCATGCTTAGGTGGAATAGATCTAAGTTTCAAAGATTCAACATCAAGAGCAATTCTATCAACGTTCGTAGCCAAATCATCAATCTTAAGCAATTTTTCTGAAATCATAGCATTAAAATTCTTTTGCAAAGAAATAAATGCTTTAATATTACATTCAAAATCAGAGGGCATCTTATTATAATTTCCATAAGAATTGTTGTAGGAATTACCATAATTATTAGAGGGCTTACAACGATAAGGCCTAGGATTGAAATTTCCTCTATACGCGTTGTTACCAAAATTGTTCCTACTAACAAAATTCACATCCATAGATTCATTATTATTCTCAATCAAAGTAGATAAGGGCACATCATTAGGATCAGAAGAAACACTCCTATTAGCAAATAATTTCATAAGTCCATCCATCTTTCCACTCAAAACATTAATTTCTTCTATCGCATGCACCTTTTTAGTAGATCTTTCAGTATGCCATTGAGAATAATTAACCATAATATTATCCAGGAGTTTAGTAGCTTCTCCTAAAGTGATTTCCATAAAAGTGCCTCCTGTGGCCGAATCTAAAAGATTTCTAGAAGCAAAATTCAATCCGGCATAAAAAATTTGTATAATCATCCACAAGTTCAAACCATGAGTAGGGCAATTATGTATCATTAATTTCATTCACTCCCAAGCTTGTGCAACATGTTCATGATCAAGTTACTTAAAATTCATAATATCGTTTCTAAGAGAGATGATCTTAGCGGGAGGAAAATACTTAGAGATAAAAGCATCTTTGCACTTGTTCCATGAATCAATACTATTTTTAGACAAAGACGAAAACCAAGCTTTAGCACGATCTCTAAGCGAAAAAGGAAATAGCTTCAATTTAACAATATCATTATCGACATCTTTCTTCTTTTGCATGTCACACAAATCAACGAAGCTATTAAGATGGGTAGCGGCATCTTCACTAGGAAGGTCAGAGAACGGATCTTTCATGACAAGATTCAGCAAAGCAGTATTAATTTCACAAGATTCAGCATCGGTAAGAGGAGCAATCGGAGTGCTAAGGAAATCATTGTTGTTGGTATTGGTGAAGTCACACAATTTAGTATTATCTTGAGCCATCGCGACAAACAAGCAAACTAACACACAAGCAAAAGAGGCAAATAGAGGAGGATAGAGAGAGGGCAAATAAAACGGCTAGGGTGAATTGGGGGGGAGAGGAAAACGAGAGGCAAATGGCAAATAATGTAATGCGGGAGATAGGGATTGTGATGGGTACTTGGTATGTTGACTTTTGCGCAGACTCCCCGGCAACGATGCCAGAAATTCTTCTTGCTACCTCTTGAGCACTGCGTTGGATTTCCCCAAAGAGCAGAGGATGATGCAGCAAAGTAGCGTAAGTATTTCCCTTAGTTTTTGAGAACCAAGGTATCAATCCAGTAGGAGGCTATGCACGAGTCCCTCGTACCTACACAAAAACAATAGCTCGACGCAACCAACGCGCTTAGGGGTTGTCAATCCCATCACTATCACTTATGAAAGTGAGATCTGATAGAGATGATAAATAATACTTTTGTTATTTTTGGTATAGAGATGCAAAGTAAAAAGTAAAAGCAAAGTAAAAGCAAAGCAATAATAAAGTGATGGAGATTGATATGATGAGAAAGAGACCCGGGGGCCATAGGTTTCACTAGTGGCTTCTCTCAAGAGCATAAGTATTCTACGGCGGGTGAACAAATTACTGTTGAGCAATTGACAGAATTGAGCATAGTTATGAGAATATCTAGGTATGATCATGTATATAGGCATCACGTCCGAGACAAGTAGACCGAAACGATTCTGCATCTACTACTATTACTCCACTCATTGACCGCTATCCAGCATGCATCTAGAGTATTAAGTTAAAAACAGAGTAACGCCTTAAGCAAGATGACATGATGTAGAGGGATAGTTTCATGCAATATGATAAAAACCCCATTTTGTTATCCTCGATGGCAACGATACAATACGTGCCTTGCTGCCCCTTCTGTCACTGGGAAAGGACACCACAAGATCGAACCCAAAGCTAAGCACTTCTCCCATGGCAAGAACAACCAATCTAGTAGGCCAAACCAAAATGATAATTCGAAGAGACTTGCAAAGATAACCAATCATACATAAAAGAATTCAGAGAAGATTCAAATATTATTCATAGATAGACTTGATCATAAACCCACAACTCATCGGTCTCAACAAACACACCGCAAAAAGAAGATTACATCGAATAGATCTGCACAAGAGAAGGGGGAACATTGTATTGAGATCCAAAAAGAGAGAAGAAGCCATCTAGCTACTAGCTATGGACCCGTAGATCTGAAGTAAACTACTCACACTTCATTGGAGGGGCTTGGATGATGATGTAAAAGCCCTCCGTGATCGATGCCCCCTCCGGCGGAGCTCCGGAACAGGCCCCAAGATGGGATCTCGTGGATACAGGAAGTTGCAGCGGTAGAATTAGGTTTTTGGCTCCGTATCTGATCGTTTGGGGGTACGTGGATATATATATAGGAGGAAGAAGTACGTCGGTGGAGCTTCGAGGGGCCCACGAGGCAGGGGGTGCGCCCTAGGGGGGCGCGCCCTCCACCCTCGTGACCGCCTCGTGGCTTTCTTGACGGGGGGGTCCAAGTCTCCTGGATTTTATTTGATGAGAAAATCACATTTCCGAAGATTTCATTCCGTTTGGACTCCGTTTGATATTCCTTTTCTTCGAAACCCTAAAACAGGCAAAAAATAGCAATTCTGGGTTGGGCCTCTGGTTAGTAGGTTAGTCCCAAAAATAATATAAAAGTGGATAATAAAGCCCAATAATGTCCAAAACAGTAGATAATATAGCATGGAGCAATCAAAAATTATAGATACGTTGGAGACGTATCAGTTGCATCATCCTCTCCTCTTCAGGGAAATACCAACACAGATACAGGCAATCATGACACACATAGGGGGTGGCCTCCCTAGGGTAGCCCCTCAACCAAGTTGACCGGGGGGCATTAAATCCATTAAGGAGATAAGAGAGAGGTCCCAGTGTTCCACGAGCACCCCTAGGATCATCTTGGTCCCCAAGTCTACGATGGCGGAGGCATCAATGGCGTGTTTGGTTGCTTGGGTGCATCTATCATGCATTGCATGAAGGAGCTTGGTTGGGGCTAGCCTGGTTGACCTCATGCAAAACTGAGTTAAAATGTGTGTTTGGTGTACTGCATGAGATGAGCCAGGCTCAGCTCAGATTTTGTTTAGTGTGTCGTATCTGAGGTTGTATGAGAGATGCAGCATACAATATATGTTGTTTGGTAGGTTGTATGATGTGGAATTTAACTCAAGGGTGATTGATCATGTATGTAAAATAATCAGAATATAATTTTGGTAATATGCACTCCAAATTAGATATCTTTGATGATTGAAGTAATAAAAGAATATATGTTCATATGTCTTCAAAATGACTAAGATGATTGAAGTAAGAAAAAACAAAATTTCAGCAGCATCTTTGTTGTTTGTATAAGTACACAAGTAGTTTATATACACATATAAGCAATTTATGGTACAAAATAACTAGAGAATCCTTCTTTTCCGGTCCAACACATAAATAGCACATAAATCAAGACGTACTAGAGTTCACATATTAGATAGCCACAAATCCATATGGTTCATATTACAGTCTAGAGTTCACATATTAGATAGCCACAATCTATATTGTCTTTACATCACATATATACGGGGATAGTTTTTCTGACCAAGTACAATAAAATATGGCCAGCTTCGTTGAAGTGGCACATATTTGCTCACACTCCACCCTTGGGCACTTCATCGCTGGTGACAGGCATTCCATCCTTGGGTAGTCCTTGCTTGGGCATGGGCACTCCACCGTTGACCTTGGAGAGGTGGTGCATGACCCAATGAGTGCGACGAGTCTCCGACATCTGCACGAATGAGTGGCTCCTAGCCCTGTTGGCATTCTCATTGAGATAGTCCAAGAAAATTAACAGATCATCCTCGGTAAAACCAGGGAGCTCCATAACAGCATCATAAAGTTCAGGATGTGCCTCTCCGGTCACTACAAAAAAAAGACACATCCATGACATTTTGGGCCGAACGAAATTTTTTTCTGTCATACATATGACGATAATTGTGACAAAACATGGTATCATCATAGATGTGGTGGGCTCCTACTTCTATGACAAAAAATCATGACAGAAAATGGGCTTTTCGTCCTAGGCGGGCTGGAGACGCAGTTGTATGACATTCTTTGGGCCGTCCATGACGGAAAAAACCATGGTAGAAGCGAGGGGGAGGAAAATTTCGAGGAGTTCCCGGTTACGGTGGGAGGTCGGGGGCCGAGCGATGCGCATTTGTCTTGTACACGTACATGCGTGTGTGCGAGGCGTTGGCTCTAACTGAACCCGAGCGAGGCGTTGGGCTCTAACTGAACCCGGGCGATTGCACTGCAGGCTACGCGTTACTGAACCCGAGCGATCGATCGATGGCTGTTAACTGAACCCGATCGAGCGATTCCTTCGCTACTGCTGCTAACTGAAGCCGATCGATGCTGCCTCTGGGATGAACAGTGAGCGTTGCGGGGGGGTTGGATGAACACTGAGCGGTGGCGTTGCCTATGGATGAACAGGACCCCGTGATGTGGTGGAGGGCTGGATGAACAATAGACGGTGGAGGGGTGCCCGTGGAGGGGTGGATGAATAGGACCCCGTGGTGTGGAGGGTAGGATGAATAGTAGACGGTGGGGGGTGCCCGTGGAGGGGTGGTTGAACAGGACCCCGTGGTGTGGAGGGCTGGATGAATAGTAGAAGGTGGAGGGGTGGTTGAATAGTAGCCGATGGAGTAGCGCGCGGTGGAGGCTGGATGAACAGGAGCCCGTGGAGGCTGGAGGAGGTCGATGGTGGAGATGAATAGTATCCCGTGGAGTCCTGTTTTGCGGTACGCCACACCCCTCCCGATGAACAAGACCCCCGTTTCGACCGTAGCGCTCCAACACAAGTCCGTTTCATCC